CTGTTTTCTGTTGATAATGCAGAGGTTAGTCAAATGTCCAGCCGGTTAACATCAGAATCTCGCATATATGCTGACAAAGCAAAGGATCTAAATCGGCAGGTCAGTTTCTCTAAGAAGTTGATGCTGTGTAGTGTACTTTGTTTGACTTATTAGTTACTCCTGGGATATTTCTTTGAGGCCATTTGCTAAGTTTGGGCATTAATTCAACTTAACTGTCCTGGCCATTGGTTCTTGACTCTTACGTGGCAATGATACCTTTTTATAACATAGAAAATAAACTATAAGATTAGTATATTTTGTTCATTATCTATCTTTTAGTGTTGTGTCATGTCTGCAGAAGATCAGAGACTGTTTACCATATCCTTGTTTTTATGATGATAACTTGCTGATCTCACGGTCAGAGACTAGTAGTGTTGACAATTTAAAAAAATTGAGAAATATTTTTTACAAAACCAGAAATTTTCCTAGGACAGTTTTATTTGAAAACTCTCCTCATGAAACTTGCTACTCAATCCCACTGGCAATTTTGAGGAAACCGCTCCAAACAGGATTACCAAATGAAATCTACATATATGATTTATGCACTGTAATTCACATCAGATTGCCTAAGATCTATAAATGGGTTCTTTTGCATGATTTCCTTCCAAGATGCATTTTTATGGATCTTAGGTTAAGTCAATTCCCAAGTTCCTATGCACTTGTCTTTTCAATTATGTGTTAAATGTCTTGATGAATGTTGGGTATTATCACAATTATCCGTGGTAGTCATGTTTGATCCTTTTTCACATTTCAACTGTAGGCTTTAATCCGGAAGTGGGCACCTGTGGCTATTGTGCTAGGAGTCGTCTTCCTTCTCTTCTGGGTCAAAACAAAATTCTGGTGATCATTTAACTATCTTCTGGTGGTTCCCAGAACTTAGTTGCATACTTTATGGGGTTCATCCGTGCTGCTTTTCTACCCTGTATTGGTGGCAAGGTTGCCAGGATTCTGAGACCTTCACATCAAAGTAAACGCTGCCTTTTGGCAATCAATCTTGTTAACTCATAGAGACAATATTTACCATCTGCAATTATGGAAGAGAGACTCCCCTTACTGGGATTATTCTTTCTATATGTAAAACTAGAAACACCATAGCTAATAGCGTTATATTGATTGAGAGCCTCTCATAATATCAATCTTTAAGCATTTTCTCGTTATTGCTTTGTTCCCTCCCTTAACCAAACCCCATGGAGATTAAGCCAATTAAAGTCTATAACTGCTTATTAACTTGCTTCTAGTCATCCTCGTGCCGTGAGAAGCCCTTTACAAAGCTTATAAAGCTCAATTGCATGGTGCAAACAAGATGTTTAAGTTGCCTGCCAAAGTCGAATGAGTTGGATGGTTCTCTCGATATTTTCTGTTAGCGATGGTACCGAAATGAGTTCTCGGATATAACCACGGTACTTACATAAACATTGCCGGTATCTGACAAAACCACCATTCTAAGCTTAGAAATCAACAATCCTGAAAAGATTAGCTTTCCGGGAAAATCAAATAATCGATTATGTTGTCTGTAAATTGATTTTTTTAGACTTTTGGGGAAAATCAAATAATCGATTAGCTTTTGGCGAATATAGATATGGAAGAAATATGAAAGGTCCAACCGTCGGTGGCACAAAAATGTCCCAAACGATCAAAATTTTTAAAATTTCTAGCATGCCAATTCCCCAATTCCCCAATTCCCGATTCACTTTAAGAAGGGTTTTTTTCAACTTGTACTTAAATAAGTTAAAAGTTTTTTTAATTTTTTTTTTATCCCTAAAAGTTTTGGAGATATAAAAATAATATTTAATTTATTAATTATTTAATTAAATTTATCCATAACATAACCTTCACAATTAATATTTATTTTTATTTTTTTATATAAATTTATTAAAGAAATAACTTACATGTTAGAAAAATCCATTTAAGAGTCACATTTCAATCGCTTTACACGGACCCAAATCAAATGCAATAACCAGACTCACCAATGGCGATCTTCGAGCAAGACAGATTCAAAATTTTTCGAGAAGATGATGAAGAAGAAGTAGAGAAGGAAGAAGATGAAGAATCCCATTACAGCCAGAGTGAGGGGTCCGACTCGGATCGCGACTTTGATGATGACCTGAGTTACGACGTTCTTGAGGAAAGTCATTCCAAGGTCTCAAAACACTCCAAAATGAAACAATCAGGATCTCGGTTAGTATCAAATACAAAAGAATTTTATCAGTACTTTTCACGGGAGTTTCTAGTATCGTATGATTATGAATAAGCAATACTTAATTTAATTTTTTTGGGTGTTGTTTCTTTTCCAATTCTCGTCGACATATGTAGTGTTGAGAAACATCAAGAACAAAAGGAGGTAGAT